TAAATACCATGAGGTGTCCCCACACTTGAAAAGTGGGATTAATCCCCACTCGGAGTTCGGCTTGTCCCTGGCCACAAAATGCTTCCAATGGGTTTCGAATATAATATGTTTTTTCACTTAAGTGCTAGACTCACTCTCATTTTTCAATCAAGATTTAACTTATTCAAATGAACTAAAAATTTACCATTCAAGACAAATAAATTATATCAATTCAAACTTCAATATATAAAAATCTAAAATAAGAGGCTACGCTTGATACATTCAAATCTAATGCATAAACAAGATAAATACTTGTAACAATTCAATCATTTGTTTCTCTTTTTTGACTTCCATATTGTTGTTTTTTCAAGAATCATTGCTACTTGAAATCAAAAATAGTACAAGGAAATCCAATGAAATTTTAATACTTTAAATAATAAACAAATAACAACATAAGTTGGAATTTGATAAATCCCCCTCCACAACAACAAACTTAAAACTTCCAAATTTGCAATCAATTGAAACTTAAAAGAGTTGAAACACCCCATGTTACTTTTAAAAATTAACAGTTTAAAAAAAATATAGTAAATATAATATACCCCTTGATAATAATAATAATAATAAATTAAAAAATTTGGGCCCTCCTGGACAGTGAGCCCAAGAAAGTCGCATTGACTGCCCTTGTCCAAGGCCGACACTGAGATTGACAAAATTTGAGAAAGTTTATGTATATTATAACTAAAAACTAATAAATATTGCCATGCTAGAGCAATGAGGTTATGTATTTAATTCCTCCTTCTCCATTAGAAAAATTTACCTATACCGGAGATACCACTGTCGCGGTTATCCCAAGTCAATCATCTATTGCCATATGTTTTAAGTTTCCGACATAACATTGACAATGCTATTTTCCGACGTAGTAATGTGTGATAGGTTTGGAATACCATCATAATGACATCCCGTTACATGTAAGTTCTTCTCCCTTCTTCATATCACATATATCTTTTTATCAGCTCAAAATTTCATGGAATTTAAGGTAGTGGTCATTAGGGGTGGGCATCAATCCGGCCGATCCGATTACACCGGCCGAACCGATTATATTGGTTTGGTTTGGTTTGGTTTTGACCAAAGAAAAAGTCAACAGTTTGAAAAACCGATCCGAACCGGGTTGGTTTGGTTCGGCTGCGGTTTGAGTATTTTTCAAACTATCCTAAACCAAACCGAACCGATATAAGTCCATTTAATATTAATTTTATTTAATATACATGTGTCAAACAACAATTGGTTAGTAAAAAGGCATATTGTCAGCTTTCTGTAGTGTGTTTTGAAAGGTTTTACCTTTTACGTGAAATGCTAAGAGTTAATGGGCCTTTTTCTCCTTTGGCAATCAGTCAATTAAAGGCATAGCAGGCCCATTTTGCTGGCAATCAGTCAATTAAAGGCGTAGCAGGCTCATTTTGGCAATCTGTACGCGTTAGTAGCACAGAGACAGTCACAGGCACAGACGGCTGCTGCAAAAGCTTCAGGCTTTTCCGACCCGCCTGCACTCTGTACTCAATGGACAAGCTCCGGCCAATGCCATTCATGGCGCGTCCATCACTTCTCTGTAAGCCAATGCTGCGTTGGATAGAAGCGATTGGCCCTTTCAGGCTATATATACTGGTAAGGCTAAACCCAAGAATTTGTTTTGTGAGAATACAAGCCACAGAAACTTCAGTCCATTCATAGTTTCAACTTTCCTCTCTGTCTTTATATTTATTTTTCTTGTTCACTCATCTCATCAGGATTCATGGCTGGGAAATGCTCCGTGTTTTTCAAGTTTTTGGTTCCTGGGTTCAACAAACGACTTGTATGATTCTCTTCTCTTCGCTCTCTGTTTAATATATATGTGGGTTTCAGGTTTATGTTGTTTTTGAGGTTTATGTTGTTTATGTTGTTCAATTTCATATGTTGTTTACATATGCTTTCTCTTGACAAATCTAGATTCATTTTCCTGTATTGGTAAATTATTTATTATAGGGTAATAAATAATTAAATATAAAAAAACTCCTACATCTTGCTGTTTTTTCCTTGGTCATATGATTGTGTATGTGCTGGCATATTTTATGAGTAACTTTGGAGGCCATTTTGGACTATTAATTGGAGATAAAACGACTCCACAATTTTGTCTTATAAAGATTACTGTCCCTAGTTTTTTTTTTTTTAAAGTTGTGTTAATCGGACTTATAAATTAATTATAGTAACTTTCAAGTAAGTAAACTTCATTGCTGGAAACTTGCTTTGGTAGTTTTGTGGTTGTTTTTTGTGCATCTATGGTTTTTACTATGAATTACATCTATGGTTTACCAGCTATTATGCTTACAAGTTATGTGACCAGCATCCTTCGGATTACAGTAGTCAAGTGGAAAAATTTGGTATTTCTATCCCCTTTTTGTATCCAGTTTAATCTAGATTTTTGTTTCCAAAACAAGGCCTCCTGGTCAAGAATGGTAGTATACTCATCAAGGAGACACCGATCGAGCTTATTGAGGAAGGGATTAGTTTGATTCTATGTAAAGTTGTGTTAATCGGACTTATAAATTAATTATAGTAACTTTCAAGTAAGTAAACTTCATTGCTGGAAACTTGCTTTGGTAGTTTTGTGGTTGTTTTTTGTGCATCTATGGTTTTTACTATGAATTACATCTATGGTTTACCAGCTATTATGCTTACAAGTTATGTGACCAGCATAAGTATTTTGGCGTACTCTTTTGAAGTAGCAAAGAAGTGAGTGTTTGCCCAAGTGGGACAAGTGAAGTAAGAAAGAAATTTTGGGCTTCACACTCATGGTCTTATCATGCTTTTTATGCTTCTCCTTTTGTTTCCAATGAAATTTCAATAATTTGTTTTGATGGCAGGATATTTAGTTTCTTAGCTACTGATTTTGTTTTACAGAGTATGAATATTGGTCTCGGAAATTAAATTGGTGTTTAAGTTGAAAGTTGAATACAGATGCATGCAGTTATTAATATGTTGATATGTTTTTGGTTTCAAACATATTTTTTGGCACATTGTATTCGAAAAAGTGCAAAACAAACTACTATAGTTACTTCCACTGTGCAGACAATATTGATGTTGAACATATTGGCACACAATCTCCAACTAAAAGTTTTGTCAGTGGGAGTGTTCAAAAGATTGGTATCTCAAATGATCATCTATGAGACTTTTGATTCAATCAATCAGTGGGAGGAAAAGGTTAATTTGCAGCTGTTCCATTAAATGTTCCTAGTCTTCTCGTGTTGACTTATCAATAATGCATACTGCTGATTACGCAGTTTCTGATTTCTGATGTTTATTGATTTGCAGCTTAACATAGTGCTTACATAAATTTTGGTCTAGTTGGTTTGACAGAGATTTTAATGTTTTGATTGAAAATACATTATTGAGTTCAACTATGAATTCGTCTTCAGTTTTAGTGGATCAGTATAATAGGTATACAATCCTCTTTTGTGGCATATCATTTTGTCTACAACATGGTATTGCTTGTTTGAGTGTGTATGTGATTATAGAGTGCAAATGCAGTTGAATTTGCATCATGTTTTCTATAGTTCTGCATTTGGACCTTTGACAGTTGTTACATGGAGATAGTTTATATTAGATTGTGGCCGTAGAAAAGAAGTTTATTCAATAAAAGGTTGTTTATTTTTAGAATGGTGTGCAGGTAGTTTATGTTTATGTAATGAAAAAAAGGGATGTTAGGAACAGGCTAAAATAGGCGTGATGATTTTAGATGGTTCAACTTCACATCCTTTGCTTTCAAATTAGACTTACATTCCCAATATTTTTCAACTATGTTTAACGGTATGCGCCCATTCCCTTTATTTTGAAATTAGGGTATATCCACCAAAATCCTGATGCTTTTTTCTTTGAAAGTACTTGTAGCATCTACCACATCTTACTTACGGATTTGCTTCTTGCATTTGGACATCCCATAAAATCTGATTGTAGGTCCATCCATTTTAACATGTAAACTGTTCCAATTTATTAAATAAATAAATAAAACTAAAACAACACACGATTAAATTAGGTTTTCGCTTCCTCTTCCCAAAATGTTTCTTTGTTTCCCACGCAGAAATAGAAACAACATGTGCTTGAGGAAGGCGATTCTTCTTCCCATAAGTCGATTCGTCTCCTAGTTAGTTTCTCCATGGAAGAACTATATTTAATCCACCCATCTCTTAATAATCCACCACCATTTATACTTTTCAGTAAAATTGAATGATTAGGATTGTGACCTAATATTTTTGTTCTACATATGAACAGTCACTTCCAGTAGCTTTCTGTAGTTCTCTGAGTGAAAAGAAACTGGATAAAGCAGTTATTAAAAGCTGCTTGGGATCTTGGTGTGTGAGACTTAGCAGGAGTGTTGATGGAGTACTTTCTTTCGAAGAAGGTTGGGAAGTTTTTGTGAACCATCACGGCCTGAACCTTGGAGAAATGGTAGTATTTGAACACAAAGGCAAAATGGTGTTCAATGCGGTTGCCTATGAGTCACTTGGTAATGAGAAAGAGTATGAACTGCAGAGCGACAAGCACCCGCATGATTACAAAGGTGGGTTAAATTAAAAATTCTCTTGCATTTCACACAAGAATGGCAGTGGCATATTAATTTTCATTCGCCTTCATTTCCCACAAGATTTACATCAGGTTACACTCAATATTTTTACTTTTGATAGGATTGCACCCTCTTAATTATAATGAATGTGGGTTGTTCCTTGGACTATTTTCAGGAAAAAGAACCTTAAAAGGAACTGCATCCTCAACCCCAAGGACTCTGTTCAGTACCACGATGAGTAAATCCCATGGGAATCCTCTTCATGCTTATATGGTAAGTTTTCTAACTTCTCTTTGCCTGTATGAAGTGTGTCATGTTATTATTTGCATATTATTGAAGATAAAAAAATTTCATGATGTTCACTTCAAGCACACTTCTTGAGTCTGGAGTTTTAGTGGCAAAGCCCTAGGCAGAGTTGTGAAATTGGTCTGTTTGGTCAGGGTTGAGTTGCAATCCTTTTTTTCTTTTTTGGATTTTCTCTAAATTTTGGTAGTTGTTTTATGACAGACTATTCCTGCGAAATTTGCAAGAACAAATGGCATTGTGGCCGCATCCAGAATCATTCTCAAAGACCCGTCTGGAAGATCATGGCCGCTGATCATAAGTAAGTGGGAAAGAATGGGCAGGCGTAGTCATCGTATAGCTGCTAGAAAAGGATGGTACAAGTTTTATGAAGCCAACAAGCTCAAAAATGGGGATGTCTGCATATTCAACCTCAAACCAGTATCATCTAAGTCAGGTTCAAAATCAACACGTGTCTTGGAAGTCCAGATAACCCGATGTGGATCCTAGTCCATTTGGTCAATTTGTTGTTGTCTTTCAGATTTTGAACAAAGAGTATCAAGCCAGAAGAATGTAACTTTGATGGCTGAAACCTCCTTTATGCTACTTTTGAAATTGTAATTCGGATTTCTGTGAACGGTTGAGTACTAATTATTATTCTACTATGATATTTTTATTTTGTTCTTTATACACGCCCATACTCTAAACTCTAAATTATTATGATTTCTTTATTTAATCATGGCTTATTTTACACTTTGCCCCTGAAAGTTAAAGTGAAATTACTTTTGTCGAACCAACCTCACTTTGAAATTACTTTGCCTTCACCACATTCACATGCCTACTTCAACTTGTAGCATCGACAAAAGAAATTAAAAGAAAAGAAACGATCTGTGGCCGATGGTAAAAACAACATATATATATATACCACATTTTGTGGGTTGGAATGTGAACTGTAATATTTAGATTTTGGTTTTGTAAACAACAATTAATTGATGAATGATTACAGAAAATAAAATACAACAACTTGAAAAATTAGACAATAACATTTGTGCTTGTTGTGCCTATAATCACTGTCCGGTCACCTCTTCTTCCTTCACTCTCTCTCTCTACTCAATCATACCTGCAAGCAATTCACTCACCCAGTCGTCGCTAAAAATGGTTGCACCATGCAACTAATTAAAAGTCTTTTTTCTTGTTTTATTTTCAAGTTTTACTTCCTATCGTGAAAATAAACATCGTTTTCCAGAGCCGGCCTTGAGGGTGGGTGAGAGGGGCCTTGGCCATGGGGGCCTCCAATTAAGGGGCCCCAAATTTTTTATATATTATTATATATACTATTGTTCAATTTATTAAATAAATAAATAAAACTAAAACAACACACGATTAAATTAGGTTTTCACTTCCTTTTCCCAAAATGTTTCTTTGTTTCCCACGCAGAAATAGAAACAACATGTGCTTGAGGAAGGCGATTCTTCTTCTCATAAGTCGATTCGTCTCCTAGTTAGTTTCTCCATGGAAGAACTATATTTAATCCACCCATCTCTTAATAATCCACCACCATATTTTTCTCTGTTTTCCCCATCTCTCTTCAATCCATCCATTATTTTCAGTTTCTCTCATCCTTTTTTTCTCATATCATATTGTAACCCTAAGAATCAATCTCACACTAAAAAGCTCACAAATTGTCTTTGAGATTGATGGTGACTAAGAAGGGAGGAACATGAAAAATTGAAAAGGTAATCAAATTTATAATTTTTTATTATTAAATATTTATTCCTATCCATCAAACTATTCTTTTCAATTTCCAGATTATACACCGACAATGACTTTGCTGTTAAGAGTCTTAGACTCTGCTTTATAATGACCAGGATAGTAAAAATCATTATTCACGCGCTCTACGCGCTACGTAAAATCATTTTATTTATTTTTTTTCTCACAATTGTATACTAAGGGAAGGGGCATCATTTAGTTTATTGCCTAGGGCCACCCAAAAGTCAAGGCCAACCCTGTCGCTTTCTACATCATATGGTATAAAAATGTAGTCTTCGTAGCATGCATTTCTACACAAATTTAAGCCAAATTAAGCATGTTAGAAACCAAGAGGAAATTGAAGCCATATCTTCCAAGTAAATTGGATTTGGAAATCTTACATATATGGAACCCAAAGTAATATTGCAATGGCAACTGTCATCATTCATAATTTACATACCAATAAACTAGAAAGTACCCCAACACCATTGATCTTCTCTGGCTTGATATTAGCTTGATATGAACATCCACCACTTGTATAGAGCAAACCCATAAACTGTGGCATAAGCAACCAATCTCATAGGATTTTTTCTAAATCTACAAAAGGGAGAATTGTTTCTTAGGTTACAAGTCAAAGACTCCAGACTACCTAAATTTTGTCCATGAATATACTTGTGATCAATAAAATAGGCAAACACGGTTTGGATCATTGAAATACAATGTGGTGGACCCTATAAGAGTGTCGCTCAAATAAACTTATTTGAGGACCCCCTCTATATATATATATATATATATCTGTGATATACCATACATACGTAAAATATACTTAGATTGTATTCGTGTAGAAAGAAGTTATCGTATAGAAGTGAGAACAAAAAAAAATGTTAATTACTATATTGCCGGGAAATTTTAATTTTATTGTTGCAATCGTTAAAATTGTGTATACTCTAACACTTGACAGACAATATTTTCTTAATTCTGTCATTAAAAAAACAACATTTACTTAATAACAGTATTGATTAATAAGTTGCTGCAAGCGGGTTTGTAGCTCTAGTTACCAAGTAAAATATGATCACACTGGCCGAATTTTGGGCCGGTCTAGTCCAACGGACCCTAATTTTCTTTGTTGATGTTTTGTCACTTAATGATGACCCAAAGCTAAACGCACAAACATCAATCAATTGTTGGCTAATATTCTTCCACAACAAAATCACAACATTCAATTGAAAAACCAGTGAATCTCACATGTCCGAAAAAATAAAAATAAACTGACCTTCTAATTAACCCAGATCTTTGAGCAACTTCAGAGGCTCTTTCCTCTGCTGAAACCGGAGACGTCCACCGTGAAAAGTCTCGGTCAAAGTAACCCCAATCGGGCAAGAGCAACGCAGAAATACCCAGCACACCAACCACGTACGTTAACATCATCTTCTTGAAAGACTGTGTGCATACTCCAACTACCACTATAACTGTAGCCAACCAAACTAGAGAGGCCCTGAAAACGGCATCGTTTGCCATGGGGTGGCTTGATGAAAATGACGAAGTTAAAGTGGGGGATGAAGATGGGTGAGAGATTACTAGTGTGGGGAAGGAGGAAATGGGCATGAATGGGTGGTGGTGGCGGCCATGCCAGCCACACAATACTCTCTCTCTCTCTCTCTCTCTCTCAATCTAAGGATTTGCTTCAAATTAAGGGCAGAAGTGGTTAGAAAATGCTTTTAATGCGAACCCAGCTGTTGTTATAAATGCGTTTTATGTTTAGCTTCTCTTTCAGTTCGAGGCTTAGCTGTTATTTGCATGGGGAATGCCACGTGATGCCCATTTCTTTATATTTTTACACTTAAAATTGAGTCTTGCTGAAGCTCCACAGAAGCTTGATGGGCTTGAGAGGTTTCTATTCAAGCCCATGCATGCCTTACATATCTTCAACTTGAAGTAGGGTTTCGATTCTGAAGTAAAAGAATGAGATCGAAACCCTTTGAGAGCCAACTACATCGACTTTGATTTCACAACCAAAATCCTTCCAATTAATCAATGATGAAAACTTTGGTTTGGTCTGTAAAAGATGATTCGGTTTCAACCCAATGTAGTACGTAGCATTAAAATGAAGTGAACTATTTCAATTTCATTGAAGGAAAAACCATAAACAAAAAACTTATCCTACATTTACAATAATTTAAGAAGTTTTGATTGGAATAGGAAAACCTAATGGTGCCCTGATCAGAAGAGGAAGTGTTTGGGAACCTTAAGAGGAGATTGTTGAGTCTGAATTCAGCAGGTGTCCATTGATTTGTCCAGGCTGGATGGGGAGCTTTTTTGTGAGTCTGGTTGGAGTTAAAGGGAGATGTACATGATTGGCGATTGGGCCCAATAATTATTTGTTGTTTGCAAACTCATTTCAGAAAACAAATCAGTTGGTTAATTTGACAAGGAAAGCAGAGATAATTTATGATAATAAGTCAAGCTTAGCTTTCATCGCAGGCCTTTCCTATTTATAAATAATTGGTCACCCAACGAGGAACATAGGGTGGAGGATCAAAATTTGTTTGTGTAGGAACCTTTTTTTTCTTAAATAAGGCAATAATTTTGACGTTCTTCTTGGTTTAGCTTTATGATGCTTCAAATTGTATATTTTATAAACTTTTATGCACTTATAAATAAGAAGTTAAACGAAGCTAAATTAGGAGTGTCAGAATCGTTACCCTTAAATAATGCGAGCTAGCTTAGCTAACTAGAAGGTTCGAAAATGGGGTTGTAAGTTCATTTATTAAAGAGGGGAAAATTGCATCTTAGGCATCAAATAAAGCATATTCTTAGACAAGTAGAAGCTACACTTTATGCCATGCCAATGGCAGTCGTTAGTTTCTTAACTTTTACTCAGTTTTGGTGCTCATATATGAAATGCGCACTTATAATGTAGGTTGATTAATAGAGATACAAGGATTTTATTATTATTATTATTTATTTTATACAAGCGATATTATACTTTAAACTAATCTAAACTACGAGGAGGGGGAATTCGAACTCGGGTGCAGAGTGGGGAGGACATCCGCTCTAGTTAGCTTAGTTAAGCCCATGTCTGCAAGATACAAGGGTTAGGATTAAAGAAATTGGTTAGTTTATTAAGAAGCTGGACTTGTTGGGTACTTTAAATATACCTTCAAAAGACAATGGCTTGTACTAGAAGATAACCTTTTACTTTAGTGGTTGATTTACAGAAGAGAAGTTTACCAATAGCAAGGGAAAATGTGCATAAGAAACCAGATGAATGAGGACAAGCCACCAACAAATCCCATGGAAGAGTTTCTCTCAAGCGTGTAAAGAATGTCTTGTGTGTCGCACACAAAAAAGAAAAAGAGGAGAAAAAATTGGTTCAAATTTGGGGCATTTGCTGCACCAACTTCCCCTCTAACTGCCCCACCCTCCAAGTCAAATGGGCCATATTTGCACATTTTCTACTGTCCCTTTCTAGCAATTATATATATCCATGCCGACTGACACCAATAAATTTTTGGTTTTTTCTTTTGAAATAAATAATTTTAATTATATTTTATATGTTTGTTTCTGGGGTTGAATGGGGATTGGTACACATTATTTTCAAGGATTTTTCTAAGTTTCTGATTACCTGATTGATTTTAACTAAAGCTTTCAGGCCAACTTTGCATGCATTTTTTCTTCTTTTTTTTCTTTTGTTTTTTTTCTCTAGAGAAATGATTATCAATAGGATGGTGCTTCACAACTCCAATTCTTGCTTCCAAAGAACCAGCTAGGTTCAACATCATCCGTACTTAGTGGTTGTATCTTTGTGCCTAATTTATATGAATTTTTCAGATATTGAAATAGTTTATTTCAAGATTAATATATACATACACTATTTTCATCTTTTTCGTAAATCACAACAGTTCATTAATATTTTAATTTACACCTAGAGAAATACCTATAGATATATACATACATAATAGAACTTGATTTATGGTTTGAGGCTATTAAGAGAAATACATGATAATTTAATTAGTCAAGCTAATGATCATGAAATCTAACTAGCATAATGTTTTAATACATGGATAACAAGACACAAGAGCATGGATCTATTTATCATACATTTAGACAGAAATCAACTTTTGATCAGTTATTTAGATTTACAATATATCAACGTAAGCGTCATATATAGTCGGAGAGTATAGCGAGGCAACATTTTCCTATATATCATATATAGTTTAAATTTATACATAAATAATCACATATTGTTGTAGATACCCTAAGCCTAAGGGCTAAAGGTCTCATAGAGTTGAAGACGTAACAAGCTAAAACCTTTCGTGAAGCCATGCAAACGATGACGGCAGGGGCTCTTCTTGCGTGCATGGATCGGAGTTTGACAAAGAAGCGACCTGCAACGTTGACATTATGATTTGAAAGTTTCACTCTTTTTCAGCTTTGGCATTAAAAATTAATTCGTATGGAAACATAGAAGCCCTTGTGCTAATTATTTTGTGTATAAATAGGCAGCAGCCACAGTTTTTTCAAGAAACAGATCAACTCAAGAAGCAATACATTTACAAATTGAAACAGAATGGGGAGATCTCCTTGTTGTGATGAAAGTGGCCTCAAGAAAGGACCCTGGACTCCAGAAGAGGATCAAAAGCTTGTGCAGTACATTGAAGAACATGGCCATGGAAGTTGGAGAGCTCTTCCAAAGCTTGCAGGTTTGCTTAATCAAAGCCTCTCTTTGTTGATAAATTTGGTTGGTTTACTAGCTTAAGCTCACATTAAGACTACACCTCACATGTCATTAAGCTTTGTTGGTTTAACACTATCTCTGAAAGCTTGATTTAATGGCGGGGTGTCGGTCCAAAGTGTTCTTTGTTAGTTTCTGTTTTAGTTTTCGGATTTAAAAGTCCCGCCTTGAAACCAAACAAAAACACAAAAGCTTGATTTAAATTGCTATCGTTTTCTCTTTTGTAGGTCTCAATAGATGTGGCAAGAGTTGTAGGTTAAGATGGACAAATTACTTGAGACCTGATATCAAAAGAGGCAAATTTACTGAAGATGAGGAGCAAACAATTCTACATCTCCATTCTATCCTTGGAAACAAGTAATTCTTTAATCCAATCTCTTTTTTTCAACGACTAAACCCATCAAATTTTCAATATGTTTGAATATTTGAACTTACTCTTTATATGTCTATGCTTTTGTTTACAAGATGGTCAGCAATTGCAACACACCTAGATGGCCGAACTGACAATGAAATCAAGAATTTCTGGAACACCCATTTGAAGAAAAAGCTGATCCAAATGGGTTTTGATCCAATGACCCATCAACCAAGAACCGATCTCTTTTCCGGTTTGTCTCAGCTTCTGGCCCTGGCAAACCTGCAGGACCTCATGCAGCAATATCAGCCGTTAGATATTGATCAACATGCTGCAACATTACAAGCAGATCAAGCTGCTCAGTTGGCCAAGCTTCAATACATGCAGCATTTACTCCAATCTGTAGCTTATATAAGCAGTGGTGAGAATTTTAGCCAGAACAGAAACACAGCTGACACAGACATGGAGGCTTTCAATTTGTTGAACTCACTTGTTCCTTCTATCAAAGAAAACCCACTTTTAAATTCATCTCAGCTTGAAAATCCAAGCTCATTTTCTCTTGGATATGGAGGAACTTCTCAACCACTCCACCATCAAAGCCTACTGCCTCATGACCTAGCAGTAGCAGACCCACAAGTCCCTTTCAGTTCTCTACCATCTTTGAATAGTGATCATGAAATGGGCTCCAACTATACAATGGTCAGCCAAGAAGATAACCCACCTCATGATCATGATGACTCTCCATGGTTTGATAAACTTCTGTCTCCTGCTCCTAATTCTATTCCTCCAACTATGACCGGGACGTTGATTAGCAATCCGGGAGGAGATGTCTGCTGCAGCACTTCAAGCTATGGAGGTAGAAGTAGCGGTTCTTCTTCCTACTGGCCTGAACTCTTTCTTGAGGACGCCAATTATGCTTGAGGGATTCTTAGTTAATTATTATCATAGATTGAGAAAGATTTGGTGGTTGCTGCCTTTGTCGTTGATCATTATCAATTCTTACTTATTCCATGCATTTGCATGTGTATATACCGACATACAGATATGTGTGATGTAATGCATATCTACGTACGTTTATTTGTACACGTACATATCTTATATATGTTTATGTGCATTGTATTATATGTACATTATTTGGGACTAAAGTATCATGGAATATACTTTTTTCACATTATAATGTGATATATCATATTGGCATTACTCAAAGCAAATATGGGAATACTCATGATCCTGGCAAGGCACGACTATAATAAGGTCTACTTTGATCGCAGGTGAACAAGCGTGGCAGGGGGATCTTGTAATTAGTAGATTGTGGCTATGCAATTAGTCTTCTTTTTAGAGAGAGAGAGAGAGAGAGAGAGAGAGAGAGAGATGTACAGTGAGAGATAAACAAAATAATATAATTTTGCTTAAATCCATTGTGCGTGGGCGATTTCTGACCGTTAATTTAAGCGGCACATAAGCTGTTCAGAAGACATTGGTGGTAGGACTTGCAACCGAGTTATGTCATGTTCGTGTCATTTCATTTACTTGCATCGAATTTGACAGCGACACTAACTCAACCGGGTTCTTGTAGTTAAATAGTTGGTCATGGTTGTCAAAGCAACATAGAAAATCAGGGTTGATTAGGTTTCTTCCTCCCCTTTTTTCCCAATTCAAAGAAATAAATTTCACCACCTAATCCCATCCCATGGTTGTACACCACTCGACGTTTCTTATGTCATGGCAATCATGTTAAAGACGTTTCTTATGTCATGACAATTAATCATGTTCAACAAGACTTTTTTATGTCCAAACAACGCATGGAAATGGTGGTTACAAGTGGCAACTAACAAAGACAGGGATCTTTGTTTCAAGCAGAATAAATCAATCATATTGACAAGTTTAAGACTGCACTTATTCATTGTTCTGATAATCAGTGTATGATCTGTGTAAATATATTTACCTCCTTTATTCTAGGCTTTATTGGAACTCTGGGATGCTACTCTAGGAACTCAACTCTTCACCTAGAAAAAAAAAAGAAAAAAGACGAATAAAAAGTAGTGCAATAATGCAATGCAATGGGATCTTGATGAAGTGGTTTGGAGTGGAAATGTAGTAAGTGCTAAAAGTCAGTGGCAACAAGTGGAGGCCTGCATATACAATATCATTAACTGGGTTTCACTTATGAAACATAATTAGTTTTTTAGCATCATCGCAAGAAGGGTTTAGTCAACCGTTCCTGCAGCGCCTACTCAATAAGTGGTTTGGAGTGGAAATGTAGAAAGTGCTAAAAGTCAGTGGCAACAAGTGGAGGCCTGCATATACAATATCATTAACTGGGTTTCATTTATGAAACATAATTAGTTTTTTAGCATCATCACAAGAAGGGTTTAGTCAACCGTTCCTGCAGAGCCTACTCAATGCCAACACTCCTAATGATCTAGGGCTAACTTAGCCCTTTTTTACAGGCTAGTTTAGCCTTTGATCCTTTAACTAGCAAATGCTAAATGTTTCATTCAGTATTGAATAGATTGCCTAGGGAAAAAAGAGAGCTGTGATTGTCATTGACGATCACAACTACATGTGTGGAACTGTCACTAACACAACTATCTAAAGTTCAAGTTATGGAAAAACTACTTTGGGGAATTAACATGAAGTTTGACAAGCAGTTCTGATTGCTACAGATGATCCATATATCATTCAACATTGACACGAGATACTTAAATCAAAGCAATTTACAACTTCTGCTATAAGGTCGTACCCCCACCATCTGACATGAGAGATGCAGCAGCCGCAGCAGCTGTAGGAACAACCCCAGTTGAAATGCCCGGTTTTGACAAATGCAGGAGCCTGAGAAATCAATTCCAGGTTAGTGAATATGTTGTCAAGTAAACAAATTTTCAATATATAGTCATCATAAACCTTAAAATCAGTTTTCCTATATGCAATCTATATGCACTGTTGAATGCCTCGTCATTTATAATATGATCAACAACGGTGCAAGAAATATTCAATTGGGACCCTTTGGACCGTCGCGGATCACCCAAACAAGACTTGTTTATGAAAAAGATGATAGAGGATATCCAGCCACTAGATATGCAAGACAAAATTGGACTAACAAAAATGGACTAGTCTGTTCGGTTTTCAAGCGTGGACCACTGGGACCCCTAGCCAAGAGGCATAGATCAACAAGCTTATGTGTAGGTAGGTGGGCTTTAATGCTTTTTTATAAATAAATAAAAAGTAAGGGAAAAAAAAACTTACGGCGCAAGATATTCACAAAAAGATGATACTGCAGCAACAACTTCAGTATAGTTTTCAGATGTAGCAGGGGCTGTCACTTCTACCAACTGTATCCCGGGAGTTACAGGGACAGCCTCATCTGTGGCATGCAGTTGTAGCATCTTATTAACTGATGACACAGTCACAGTGATCTGTGTGCCCCTCTGGAAATGGAAGGCAAATCCCACCCTCAGAAGCTCATGGTCCAACTTGTAGCCAAGTGCATAAAACAAGCGAAGCACATTCTTGCTTGCTTTGCTTTCGACCATGGTTCTTACTAGAACTGAAATTTGCTCAGCACCTGCACCTCTCATTGCACCTCCTATATGCCTTACAGTCCTACAGAATTCAGAATTTGGCATAGATACAATCATATGTATGTGTGAAACACAAATTTCCACGTGTTAATAAATATGACAAGGCAAGTTTTTAAGTGTTACCATGTTGGTTCAGTTTGCTCCAGATTGCATATAAGTCGAACCTCTGAAGCTACAACCCCTATAGAAAGGAAGATCATAAGGCCCTACAAAATAATTTCTTTCTGTGCTATTCAGCTGATACACACTGAACCAGACCACAAGTTGTAGTAGCAATCAATGCAATATAACACTGTTGCTAATTACAAAATCTTCAAAAAAATCCATCTAACCATCGCATCAATTCAAAGGTTATTAATGAAAAAATGTGAACTTAAGAGTCACAGAGGAAAAGTACCAAACAGATAAAAAAACAACGGGCTGCTATGAAAATTTATTTAAGCACACCAGGGAAGGCTTTCAACATCTCTTTAAATGAGTCCATAAAAGAGGAAAAATGACTATTCTGACTTCGGCTTAATTGTATAGAAAATGTGTTTAGACATATTATTCTAGCCACACAGCTCAATATGAAAAGAGGAAAAGAAATGAATTACCAAGGTTCGGGCCACTTTTAAGACATATCTCATGGACCCTCAAACGTTCTCTGCGAACACCACAAAGACCCTGAAGAAGAATCTCGAGGGCCTCAACATGCTGCAAAATGAAAACCATATTTTAGATGCAGCTACAGAAACTACCCACAGATGGGGGAAAAGGGGTTCTTTTAGGGATCTATTTCCAATTGTGAACAAAATTGAGTCCATAAGCATGAATAGCTTGTGCACGAAAGAAAACAAAAACTACTCAATAAGAAAACAAAAACTACTCAATAAAAAAACAAATATAGATTTTCTTCCTTTCTCACATATTAACCTCAAATGAACAATTTGGTAAACATGGTTAGAAGATATGTGTCAAAAACTGAGCTCTAAGCAGAAGATTCAATCTTTCTCCCCTAGCAGCAATACACAGATGTGCTATCAAGTGATCAGAATTTAGAGGCATTTCCAGAAATTGTATAACAAAATGTAAGCCTAACCCAACCCCCTCATTATCAAAGTACTTACCTGTGTTTCTATAATTCCCTGAACCACGCACTCCATCAAGTTGGTACAGTTGATCTAAGAAAAACCAGTAAACTCTTTATAGAAAATATGTAGAATTGAAGGGAAAAATATCAAGAAATCAAGCATAAACTTCCGAGGGAGTGATTACGAATCAAAAATACTAACCGGGTAGTTGCAGCTCCGGCGCGACTGCAGCAAGCTAAAAGAATGGAGAAAGAAGAGGGGTTCCTATGGGACCTGGAAAAAGTTCAAAACGTGAGTGACCCAGAGCGAGAGACTGCACAAAAATCTTTGCTGCGTATAAAATTGCTTGGGCCTTGAAAAGCCCATTTAAACGCTTTATATACTAGGAAATTTAACATCATTGATAGAATTTTAAATTCGAAATTAAATTAAAAAATTCGAAAGAAAAGTCTAGCTCAGATTTTGGCTGCTGCTCCTCTTCAAACTACGATTGAACAAAACCCCACAAAAATTCGAACCAGAGAAACAGAAATTGGTTAGATATGGAGGAAACTCGGGAATAAGGAAGCCTTCTAGTTAATGGGTATTTGGGGAATTATCTGAGAAGCTGATATTTAAAGCGATGAGTATTCGTACCCAGTGTTTTCAAAGGCATGCCTTCGCGCGCGTCGGAGCGAGGCGGCAGAGGAGGTCGGCTGTTTCGCAAGTTGCACGTTTAGGGCAGTGAGGCGTGGGAAGGCGTGACAAGGCTCTGCAAGGCGTGGCCAGGAGGATGAGGCGCTGCAACCCTGAACCCTGTGTATTCTCCAAGCGGCGCGAGGAAGAAGAAGAGTGCGCGAGGAAGAAGAGTTCGTGTGAATTTTTTTAAGGTTGTATGAATCGACGTCGTTTCACTTTCAGCCCTTTTAAAACTGAGGTTACTTAAATGAAACGCACGTTCAGTTTTTTTTATTGCGTTTTTTCTAATTAATTAATATATTAAGTTAATACACGCTGTGTATTCTATATATCAACTGGAGATTCTACTTCAATTTCTTGCCTTCAGTTGGAGCAGGCCGCTGTGTACTCAATAAGAATTACCTTTTTTTTAGAGCAACTCCATCCATTTGCCATTTGCCATGGCAAGGGGGAGCTAGGGCAGCTACTATTCACATGAATAGTAGTTGTCCTTGCAAATAGTATTTTGTGTTTCCACCCATTGCCATGGCTAAGGGCAATTACTATTCATTTTTTTGTTTTTTTCACAAATTTTTTTACCTCAATAATTAATTCGGATAATATTTTCGGATAATATTTTGTTTTTATAACCTAAAGAATTAACTTTGAGAATATTTCGGATAAGATTTCTTTTAATTATATTTTGTTTGATGTATTGAATGTGTTGAAAATTTTGTGTAGAAAATAAAAAATAATAGAATGATAAGAAATTATAAGAGGATTTTTGTGTTGAAAATGAAGAAGAATGGTAGGTATTTATAGAAAAACAGTTCAGAACTTTTTGGTGAATTTTTAAATAATTATTCACATTTTTTTCACATTTTTTTTGCCCAAAAAAAGCTCAGCCGTTGGATTTGGAAAAAAAAACTCATCGGAGCACCAGAACGCGCCACATGGCGCATGACATCACCTCCCCCTCGGGCTGGAGCTCGGGCGAGACTTGCCTTCAGGCCAGCCTGACTTCGTGGGTCCCACTCCCAGCCCGGGCTTGGGCTCCTCGCTGGAACTGGATTCCCCCCCCCTGACAGAGGCTGGGCTTACCGCTGGAGTTGCTCTTAGAGCGATTCCACCGGATAGCCCTGGGGGGGGGGGCCCCATATTGTATAGTACAACAATAATTTCTACACATAGACATATATATATATATAAATTGTTATGGTTAAATAAGAATTAGTTGTATAATTTAATTATATTGTATTATTTATAAATTTTAAATAAATAAATATTCAAAAGGCATACGCATCACTGCTTCAAGGCTTACATCTTGCATAGTATGACTAAAACCCCTCATATCAACACCTCACCTTTCAAAACATTGCTTGTACCTACTTATGATTTTAAGCAAAAATTGTAGGTTTGGTGAAAACGAAGCTCGACGATTTGGCGGTTGAAGCGACGAAGACGCAGACTTGGTGCTCGCGTGCTAGTTTCTTTTTGGGTCTTAATTTGGGCTGGACCTAATTAATAGGACTACATTACGCCCACCTAATGAGGTTCTAAGCCTACCTAGTCTAGGTCTTAGTGCTAAATAGTCCAATCCATGTCCTAGTCCGGTTCACCAAACATGTCCTGAAAAAATATATAATTAGATTGGTTCGGTTTAGTTGGATTTTTATCAGAACTCATAAGAAAGAACACAATTGAAATTTGTCGAATTAAATTGGTTGACTAGTTTAATCGATCTCATTTAATTTTCTTTATCTAAATATGGAGATTCGAACTTGAAATCTCTTCAGCAAAATAATGTAGCTAATAATTTGATTTCAATTTTAAGTACCTGTATATTTTCTAAACCACTGCAGTTGTAAACCCTCAAAATGCCGCCGCCCACCACCCCAACCCCACCCTACCCCAGCTCAAACTAGATCTTCACTGCCTTACCCACCCAGCCACAAATCCCACCTGCATCCCTCTTTCCAACCTACCCACCGCTTCCCCACACCCCCATCCTCCCTGCTTTTTCTACCCCACCTTTCCTCTTTTTTCTACCTTTAGCCAAAAAAGAAATGTAGTAGGAATGTAGACATTTCTACATTATGTTAGGTTAGCTTTTTTGGCAGAAGATTAAAAATAAAATAAACAAATTTGTAGGTTCCATGGTGGTCCTGCCAGCTTGTAAACAAAATGCAAGGGGACAGAAGCGGTACAAGATGTCAAAGGAATTTGGAGCATTTTAGACTTGGTATACAATTATTAGCAAGGTTGAGCTGACCTTTCAACAACAATTGTGATTTGATAGATGATTAATCAAAAGTTCAACTCTCCTGCTAGCAAGATTGGATCAATAATTGATTAATAATAAAAATAAAAATAAAGTATTGAGTCTAAGCTCAAATTGCCAAAACCAAACCAAACTACGATTTCTCTATTAGTTTTAGTTTAAATTGAACCATATCGCCACCTAACGATTTTTCAATGAAACCAATCCAAATGAGAATGCGTCCACCCTACTACTTCCTAATAAGCCATTTATAATTTTACATAGCAATTAACCAAGGCTTATTTATTGATTTGCCCCTTGAGTTTTATCAAAAATCTCAATTTACCTATGACCTTGTAACTGAAAAAGAAATGTAGTAGGAATGTAGACATTTCTACATTTTGTTAGGTTAGCTTTTTTGGCAGAAGATTAAAAATAAAATAAACAAATTTGTAGGTTCCAAGGTGGTCCTGCCAGCTTGTAAACAAAATGCAAGGGGACAGAAGCGGTAAAAGATGTCAAAGGAATTTGGAGCATTTTAGACTTGGGGGGATACAATTATTAGCAAGGTTGAGCTGACCTTTCAACAACAATTGTGATTTGATAGATGATTAATCAAAAGTTCAACTCTCCTGCTAGCAAGATTGGATCAATAATTGATTAATAATAAAAATAAAAATAAAGTATTGAGTCTAAGCTCAAATTGCCAAAACCAAACCAAACTACGATTTCTCTATTAGTTTTAGTTTAAATTGAACCATATCGCCACCTAACGATTTTTCAATGAAACCAATCCAAATGAGAATGCGTCCACCCTACTACTTCCTAATAAGCCATTTATAATTTTACATAGCAATTAACCAAGGCTTATTTATTGATTTGCCCCTTGAGTTTTATCAAAAATCTCAATTTACCTATGACCTTGTAACTGGGTCAATATGCCACTTGTGCTTTTATTTTGTATCTCTCGTTGTATCATTTCGTCAATTTGATCACTAACATTGTTAACCTGCTGATGTGGCATAGACATTTTATTAATTTTGTAAGTTAAAATCCAAAAAATATAAAAAACATTTTTTAAGAAGCTACAATTGTTCAATAAAAACAAAAGGTTACCAAAAAATAGGCCCATTCCAATATGACATATTAAACAAAAACCCTTATAAAACCTATTTGGAGAAGAAGAAAAAAACCAAAACAATCAATTGTCATTTTCTAATTGGTTCTTATAAAATTTTAACACAACCAATTAGAAAATGACAAGGGGGTAGTTTGAGTTTTTCTCTCCAAATAGGCTCTATATGAGTTTTGTATAATATGTCATGCTAAAATGGGGTTTTGAATAAATATCTTTAAAAGAATCCAGCAGCCCCTCCTCCCTCATCTCCCCAACCATCCCATCGCAGCCACCTTCAACCCCTCCCCAGCCACCCCGCCGCAGCTCCACGGCAACCCACCACAAGCCACACCCACCCTTGCGGTTGTCACCATCATCATCATCCAGATCCCATCTCCAAATCTCATCCCCAACATGACTGATTAGAAGAAATCAATGTAATAACTCTTTTTGTTTTCAACACATGTGATTAGAAGAAATAAATGCAAATTAATGTGGTGGTGTTGAGATTTTGCACATGCTAATAGTTATATTTTCAAATCAGCAAGTTAATGGTTTTATTGAGAGAATTCACGGAAGAGGGCACATACGACACGAAATAAAAGCACATGGGGCATATTGACTCAGTTGCAAAGTCAAGTAGTAGATGAGATTTTTGGTAAACGTCAAAGGCAAATCAATAAACAAGTTATTAACCAAACCAATCTTTCAATTCCGTTACCACTAATCACGAGCCAATATGTTCTTCAATGATTGAATGGCAGATCAACCGTTTCTGGTTGATATATACTTTGATGCTTGGTTGGTAGACAGAGAGAGAAAAGTTGGAGATGAAAAGGGGCCTTACAAACATGACTATCATCATATCATGTTAGCAGCTTGCTAGGGCACATGACATGTGCACTAATTTTGGGCCAAAAAGGTGACAGCGTCCAGAGTTTGTTTTTCCTATTTGGACACAGATTGGCGTAATTGGTGAGGAGGATTGCTGTGTACTTGTTCAGCACCAATGCCGCCTCCTCCTCCATGATGCAGGCATCAAGCTCTCAATTATTGATCCATCAACTTCGTGACTTTTCTCTTTTTGCTTTCTATAATTTCTTTGCTTAAGTAATTTGTTTAGAGCATGTCCATCTCTAATTGGATTCTGTCCCCTAATCAAATTGTGATGATTGATACAAGAACAGGTCTCATGTTCAAGTTTCTGTTTTATTTTTTACCTTTTTGAAAAAATAATAATAAATTTGGTGGCGTAGGCATTCAATTTTGTAGACAACCTAATTCTAGTTAGAGCCAATTAGGGAGTTGACAAAAGGGTACCAAAAAGTTCGTTTTGACTACATGCATGTTTAGGGGGATTTTGGAAATTCCTAGGTTGCACATGTTGCTTGTATGAACTTTTAATTAATTCGATGTAATGGCTTAAACATAGGTGCCCTGTGTTTAGACTTCGTGTATATAAATAAATAAATAAATAAATAAATATAAATATATATATATATATATATATATATA